TCTCCGGGCAGGTGGGTCATTTCCCCCAATCAATGACCAAGTTCCCATCTTCTTCTCTTCCCAACATGACGACAGAGGCGAAGAGAAATCTCAGAAACGTCCATGGTCCTTCTTCCAGGACAGCGCATTGATATTTGGCCCTCTTGCAGTGGATTGTGAAGAGGCACAAGGTGGCAGCGTCAGGAATTCAGCCTCTCCTTCCTTGCAAGAAGATGTTGACCTCAAACTCATTGACACTCTCAGTCACTAGTCGCTCGTCCACTGTTACAGATTGGCATACAAGAGACTCAATGCTTTGAGAAGCTGTGAATGATATTTCCCAGTATTTGCCAAAGACATTTGAGTGTTTCATCTGTCTATCACTGTTCAACAACTTAGAGGCCTGTGACTTTGCCTTTCGCGTGAAGCAGCTAATTACTGTATCACATCCGGTTATTGCATGTATCCAGGCAAGAGCCGCACATTTTTTCCGGACCCAGTGTGGCTGCTAACATCCTGACATCTACATACTCCAGTGGGCGCGATTTTGTTCCAGACTTCATTATAAAGTGAGCATTCCAACGTAATGAAAATGCGCATGCCAATACCAGGACATCTGTATTCTCAGATACAATCAGCTACTGCAGCAAATCCAGACTTGGCACAGTCGATGGTGCATGGAGGTTACAGCGCTGTATCAGCCTCCTCTTGAGTGCATCTCTAGAGCTGGACGTTTTCTGACGTATTTCTCCGTTAGTGTCATTCTGCATAACATCTCCCATAGTGGCGAAGAACTTCTTCCCAGATAGTCTGCACTCCTTATGCTTATTCTTTGCTCCAGTCATTCACAAGACAATTAATCAGTAGTGTCTTTCTTCTGGCTTTTGTAGGAAATGTTTCCATTGCCTTTACTCGGGTGTCCTGGTGCAAGTATCCTGAATGACATTCCCCAATAAACGAGATTAACGATTGACTCTCTCTGCATTCTTGGATCGATTTGTCTCGGCTAGACATCAAACACCATGTCTATTCGTCGGCAGGCTTTTTCCTTCTCGTAAGGCTGCTTTAAAGGCGTTTAGCCAGTACTGCCTTGCTCGTCTTCCTCATATGTTTCATCCAGATTTTGCCAACCCATAGCTATTAACGCGAGACGATGGAGAGCACTCTTTATGTCAAGCTTTCTGTTGTCCAATCAGGATCATTTTGGCAAAAAGATTTCTATCTGCGCTAATCATTTATCAACCTGAGTCCTGTGTTTTGTATGTTTTCTTCACCGTATATGTAACTAAATGGTTTTCAGCGCTGCTGTCTTCAATGGCTCAAAGAAAAGCCCCTCTTGGGCTCATCTCCCAACCTCTCTTTCTCAGCGAGAGTTCATAGGCCAAGCTGTGCCCTTTAATTCCTAGCCTCAATAGATCACTAACTATGGGTCCAGCGTGCAGCTGTGCCAGTGATAGAACTGACTCATGTCAGAGTGGACACGTTAATGGGTTAGATCCGTTGACTCAGAGGCTTTACAATAAAGTGCATATCCTTTTCATCCTTGTTTATCCTGGTTTGTCAGATCAGAGGTGCCTGTAAGCCAGAGTTACATCTCCATGGCGTTTCGCCAAGTAATCTAAAAATTGAGCTTCTGTATTCCGCAGTGAGGTAATTGTCGGCTGATGGCCCCTGCGGTAATCTGAAAGCTTTGGTTCTGCCTTGCTGTCTGGGTGTCTTTGTTTACTGTTTCTTCGATAGCTTGATCCACAGGAATCCTCCCGAATGTAGGTGTCTGAGCCAAGTTTGACAGAAAACAACCACCACTCTTGAGAAATTTCCAAGATGCATCCGGATGTTCCATCCCCAGGTTTGACTCTCCGATAGTAGCTTGACATATACGTGCATAATTCTGTTTGTCATAGGCGAAGCAACACACGGGAAATGTTCATGGGTCTGTGAATTGCAGATAAGTGCAACGGCCAATTCCGCCTCTCGAGGAACTTCGCAACAGGTTGAGTATATTGTCTGTACTGTCCAGAACAACATGAAGTGCACATATCTCTGCCAGTTTGCAAGAATGTCAACAATAAAGCAAGTGAAGACGACAGAATGAAGATAGAATTCGAGGCCAGATTGATTGACGATGAGGTTATATAATATGATAGATGGTTCAGATGATGAATAACCTTAACCAACACGCTGTCGAACATAGTCATGGTATAGCAGGCTTACCATGGCACACCTTGTCCTATGTAATGTAATTGTAAATGCTAAATGTAATTGTATATGATGTAATTTAACATTGGCCTAGGACACTGTAATCCAAAACCCTACTTAGCCTTTTTTGATTGCTGAAGATTCTTTTACTTCATTCGATTGACATTGCAGTATGACCTAAGTGAGACAATTTGGACATGAGTGATACAAGGTAAGCCAAGGCAGAAGTGAATTTTTATATAGTGTACGTGGGTATAAAATGCATATACCATGGTTTGAAAGCTATAAACACGGGCCCCATTCAATACAAAAACTGGCAAGGAACGAGCACGGAAGGTGACTTGATTTTATAATGTTAAGTATCTGTAGTTGATTCAGTAAAAAGGAGTTCCGAATATGTAGTGTCTGTAACATTTTGCCTGCTTTTTGCCGCTAAATAGACATATAAGAACATGGCATGCAATAACCTTTGGTGGCTCTAATTAATTTGAAATTCACATTTAAAAAAAGTATAAATTGGTATCAGGATATGTCTAACACTTTGGGAAGCGCACCCCTGACCGGGCGGCACCAGCTGTTTAGTTTTTTCAGAATTTCACCAAAACCTATTTTCAAGCAAATTTCAGTTTTACATTTTTGGCCTATTTTAGCCGCCAACCAAATAATGGAATTTTTAAGAATTATGTCAAAACTCGTTCACATACCATAGCATAAAGTAAAAATAAAGCAAAACTTTTTTTTTACTATAAATCAACTTCTACATCTCTTTGCTCAGGAATAGGACACACTCAGCGGACCAACAACATAACCATTGGTAACGACACTGGTAGGCATTTTCTGACGGGGCGTCCGCATTTTATAGCAGGGGTTCAAATTTCATGACCTTTTTGACCTCTGCTGACGCTACATACATTAACAGATTTGCATATGATCGGATATTAAAGTGTAGAGAACAACTACCAACATTTTGCGAGGGATTCAAGTTTGTCACTGTATGTACCATTACTTGAAAATTATTCATTTTATATTGCCCCTACCCCATAATTAGCTCTGTCTTGCCTCCACACGAGTGCCCATATACAAGTGGCCAATTTACTACCATTAAGCTGGGTGCGGTCTTCGGCTTAGCTTCATGGTTTTTTGTTTATCATATATGCCGACATAGGCCTTTCAAAAAAATATAGTGAGGATTTGCCACCCCAGGTGGTAGGCTACCAACTTGCATGAAATTTGGGGGTCTGGCTCATGGACTAGGGTGTGTTGTAGCTTATGCCCATTGATATTTGTACGCGTCTTTGCTTTGGCAACTCATCACAGATTGCGAAACTTTTCAATATGCAACAATGAATGAATACATATTTCAATAAGTTTATTTATATACATTTACCTTGGGTTTCTTCAAATGATTGATGCCTCTGCAGGTCGTCTTATTCTTTGATATGGCTATATATAGCTAGTGTTGCTACTAAGCCTTTGAACTGTACGCAATGTGCCATCACAACAACGTGCGTGGTGCCAAAGCCATATTTCTGCCAAGGTGCAGTGCTCTGGAACTACCTGGTTGTGAGGATAACTGATAAGGAGATTCACTCCTCGGTTGTATGAGTGACGGGTGGTATGAGCATTGAAGCTGCCGTATAATTGACTAAATTATTGGACAGGACGTGCGTGCGTTGTGCATGTGGTGCATGTGTGCATGGCATGTGTAGTATGATACGGGACTTGCCGGATAATTTAATTAAAGAATTAGCAACTTCCCTGCAATGTCGTATGCCCTGAATACAACGTATGTTTGTCCATTAAGAGATATAAAGGACATTTACTTGCTGCTTAAATGATTTCATGCCAATCTGTGATGAGATTGATTATATATAGACATCAAGTTAAATGCAACGTATCATATGTTCTTTCTTTGCGTAGGTCAAAAATTCAGACCGTTTGATTTCATACTGGGTGACGATTGACGACGAATTGGGCTGTGATGGATATGCCATCATTCATGTTCAATTTGCAACATTCTTTAATGGCCAAAGATTAGTTCTCACTGCAGGTTAGTTGTTTTAATGCTTTCAGTTAGTATCATTGACAAACATTTAGACAACGCTACGTTGTGAAATACATTTCCATAATATGATGTACAACATTGACAGCACATGGAGCTCAACATAGTGACAGCACATGATGCTACAACATTGAAGAACGTGATGTTTGTGTATCTAACATTGACAGCACGTGAATGGTACAACATTGGACAGCCACGATGATGACTACAACATTGCACAGCAATATGATGCTACAACATTGACAGGCACATGATTGTTACAACATTCTACAGCCACATGATGTACAACATGACGAGCACATGAGATTTCAACTGTTGTATGATCTAGTGTCTGATTGCTGTGTGTGGTTGTTGACAAATGAGTACACATTGACAGCACATGATGGTACAACATCACAGAACATGATGGTACAACATCTGACAGCCACATGATGGTACCAACATTCACAGCACATGATGTACAACATTCACATGGCATATGACCCGGAGAACATTGACAATATTTCTGTGCGGCGTTGACAGTATTTCATCGGGCGTGGTTTTACATGCAGGGCGACGCAGGCGACCTACAGAATATTTCTGACGTCACGTCGGGTACGCGGCAAACACTGGTGGCGGAGCCGCCTACGGACATCTCGGTGGCAGCCTCAACGGACTGGGAGTTCATGAGCGATTCACAGCTGGGGCGAGGAGTCGTACGGCACCTGGGTGCTGGAGGCTGCAGAACGTAGGAGTCGCGGTAGCTGACATGTTGAATCCA